TCCTGCCACCCACAGCCACCAGCCCCCCCCCAGTGCCCCGCGTTGCCTCCTCTCCTGCCCCTTCGCCATGGGCTGCAGAGCCCTGGCACTTTCCAGGCACAACTGGAGGCCCCTGGGAGCAAATTTGGGGTGGGAAACCCAGACTCCATCTCCTCTGCAAGGACACACACGCCACCGAGCAGCCTGCTTGCCTGCAGCCACGTGCAGGAGGGGACAGGAGGGGACAGCCAGCATCCCGTCCCCCTTGGATACTCTGATCTCCGGGAGGGTGGGCAGTGTATATAGCAGGGAAACCTTCTGGGCAGCCAAACCAGGAGATTCCCAGGGGCTCGGGAGAAAATCCCTCCCAAAATGACTCCTCTCCCCAAACAACTTGTTTCCTCGGGACTTTCCCCACCCCTGTCCCCAGCAGCCCGCGGCAGTGCTCCTTACCGTCTCGCTGTGCCCCGGCGACGTCGGCTCGCTGTGGATGCTGCCCTGGAAGGGTCCCCAGGAGAAGCCCTCGGGGAGGCTCCTGCGGGTTCTCACCTGCCTCTCCCCCTCCTGCACCGCCAGATCCAGCTCATCTGTGGGGACACGGGCACAGCATCAGCGCGATGCCACCCGGCCGCAACCCCGGTCCGCGGCAGCCCCAAGGTCCCCAGGGACACGGGGCACCCACTCGGAGCTGCGAGCTGCCGGTGGGTGCCACGGGGCTGTGTGTGGGATCCAGCCGCTCACCGGGGGGATCCAGACATGGCACGGGGGGTCCGAGTACGGCACAGCGGCGGAGCGGAAGGAGCATTTCCCATCCCCACACCCAAAGTCGCAGCAGCTTCAGGGCTTAATGGCTTTGATTATCTGATAAGCCTCTGGTTTAATGGGTTAGATAACATGTTAATACGCTATGAAGGCTGCTCTAAAATGTTTTAACTGTGCCTTTGTCTTTCGGAGCGCAGATAAGATGGCAGGTAACCAATACGCAGATGGATGTGCGCTGGCTGCCCCTCACTGCGCAGCGGGAAGGGGCCGGACGCTGCACCCTATAAAACAAGATGCTTCTTGAAGATGGTGAGTGACCCACCGTGCGACTGGCAGGGAAGGGTGCCCAGGGCACCCAACTGTGTCCGGGAGGGCTCCCAACACCCCGGGGTGCTCCAGGGCAGCAGTGGGGTGACCTCCTTGGGACCCTGCCTTCAGAACCCCCCCTAAAGCCACCTGCCCAGAGCCCCATCCTTCGAGGGCAGCGTGGCAGACGCAGCCGGTGCCCGGGTCCCGTGGGCGGGGAGGAGGCTGCGCTCATTTGAAGGCAAAATTGCTTTCAGAGCTGGGAGCGCGGGGAGGATAAAGCGATCCCATGGCTGCGGAGATTGAAATCTGATGTGTTTATTAGCCGGGCTGACATCTGGATCCTCTCGGCGCTGGGGTGAGTTAAGGTGAGCGGCTGGAAGCGCTGGGTGGTGAGCACGGGTTGGTGGCGCCCGCGATCGCCTGGGCCCCGCCGTCACCGGCGGGTCCCCTCTGTCCGCCGAGGAAGCCCTGTGCTGCCAGGGACGCAGCTCTGACCGCGTCCCAGGGGAGCGGCTGGTGCCCCTCGGCAAAACCTGCTGCCCTCTGGGACGTGGGCTGGAGAA